TTAACTTTTAGCAAACTTTACTTTTGTTGAAAACCTTGTAAGTTTGGGATTTTAATTATCTTTTGCTATTAATAAGACCTTGTTTTGTCCAAATTAGAATTGGTATGATGGGTTTTAAAGGAACAGGGTACACCTTTTATTTTTTCTTAACTACTTGTATATCTCTCTCTTTCTTTCTCTCTTTGACTTTGTCTCTCTCTCTTTGACTTTCCTTTTGCCTCTGTCTCTTCCTCTCTCTCTCTCTGCCTCTTTTCCTCTCTGTCTCTTTCCTTTCTCTCTCTCTGCTGGTCTTTCCTTGCCTCTGCCAGCTGCTTATGCTGCTGTTCTCTCAACCACCATATGTTGTGGGCAGGGGATCTAAAACAAGCTGGTCTGGGTTCCCTGGCTTACAGGTTACCTTGTGCCATACCTTTGAAACAAGGGACCTGTCCACGCTTCCTTCTAATGGCCAACCTACCTCTAATGCTGGCCAGTCTATCTCACACAAAGTTTTAAGTTTTCCTGGTGTCATAGTACTCCATAGTCTCCCTTAAATCCTTTTGTTTTTGAAAATTTTCAACATAGTTCAACGAAATTTTCAACATAGTTCCTAGTGCGGTGGGCTTACTTTGTGCCTCACCCATGTTTCCTCTAGACAAAACACCACGCTTACACCACACACATACCACAAAGCAAAGAATGGGTAAAAAGGGCGCACACACACTTTTGTAGTTTACACCAAACCAAAATCAAAACCAAAATCAGAGTATCCAGAAATCCAAGTATCCAAAAACCAAAACCAAAGTATCAAGCAATCCAAGTCAAGTCAAAAACAAAAACCAAAGTGCCGGTACAGGCACACTGTGGGTGATCAGGCCACGCTTCCACTCAAATGAAGTAGGCAAGTTCCCAAGGCCAATCCTGTCAAGCAATTCAAACCAAGTCAAAACCAAAACCAAAGTGCCGATAAAGGCACGCCGTGGGTGATCAGGCCACGCTTCCACTCAAATGGAATGGGCAAGTTCCCAAGACTGGTCCTGTCAAGCAATTCAAACCAAATCAAAACCAAAACCAAAGTGCCAATAAAGGCACACCATTGGGTGATCAGGCCACTCTTCCACTCAAATGGAGTGGGCAAGTTTCCAAGACTAGTCTTACCAAGTTTTAGAAGTCCAGACTCCAAGTGCCCTTTCCTTCCCCGTGTTCAGCCACTGCATTGATCCTCCATGGGGGCCTGCCTCACACTGCTCTGGCGAGGCGTCCCACTGGGACAAATACCTACCTGGGAGAGCTCTCAGGATCCGCGTTGCTCGGGCTGGTCTGAGTCCCCTGCAGGGATGTTCCTCAGGGCAGGTTTAAGCCACCTAAGGAGCTGCCTCACCTTCCGCCAATTGCCTCGCTTCCGGGTCGGGGAATCAAGAAATGTAGCAGGACAAGCGGCAGACAAAACTCCTCAGACACCGAGTTACAGAAGGAAGGAGTTTATTCGGCCGGGGGCATCGGCAAGACTTCTGTCTCAAGAGCCGAGCTCTCAGAGTGAGCAATTCCTGTCCCTTTTAACGGCTCACAACTCTAAGGGGGTGCACATGAAAGGGTCGTGATTGAGCAAGCAGGGGGTACATGACTGGGGGCTGCATGCACTGGTAATTAGATTGGAACAAAGCAAGATAGGGATTTTCGCAGTGCATTCCTATACAATGTCTGTAATCTATAGATAACAGAACCAGTTACGTCAGGGGTCGATCTTTAACTACCAGGCCCAGGGTGTGGCGCCGGGCTGTCTGCCTGTGGATTTCATTTCTGCCTTTTAGGTTTTACTTCTTCTGTCTTTGGAGGCAGAAATTGAGCATAAGACAATATGAGGGGTGGTATCCTCCCTTACTTTAATATGCAGATTTAGGGCTATTTAGCTGACAACTGCCAAAGCAGTGAACCAAGTTATCAAGAACTTAAAACTCTAAGGTAGAAAAAAAAAAGTCTTTATGAATCTATAAGATGTACTTCTATTGGCATGCGTAACACGTCTATGTATTTATGTGTTGCGTACACAATTTTTCACTACTGAAAATGTACAGAGGAGCTCTAATTAATTGGCTTAAGACAATAAAAGCACTTGAATCAAATACTTTATCAGGAAAAAGGAAAAGACAAGTCAAATACTTTTTCAAGTTTATGTAACTTAAGTAAAATCTTTAATAAATAAGCTAGCTTTAAAATTATTAGAAATGTCTTAAGAATTGCCAGCAGGTTCTGGGTTACAGCCGAGGTGGAGGTGGGATGGGGTGAGGGTTGGTGGGGTGGGAGGTGGTACGAGGGTTTCGTTATTTCTTGCTGCCCGCTTCTGGCTTGGGGAAGTGGCAGGACCTTGGCAGGACCTTGGCAGGACCTTGGCAGCACCCCAAGCTGGCATGGCGCTAATGGAGGGATGCGAGACCCCAGTGGCTGGGGCCCGGCTGCAGAGCCAGGTTGGCATTTCCAGATTGGGGCTCGGGCCGCACCCTCTCTAGGACCCTCCCCTTGTACCAAGCAGATTGTCGCGGGTAGTTTGGGCCAGCTCTCCTGGCGTGGAATTTCCCGAATTCAACAAATCCTCCAAGAAATCAATCCATCCATCCATCCATCCATACGTGGCAGATTATGAAGTATGGATCATTACTTCTGGGATGTGGATATATTCAGTGAACAAGGAGCAGCTTGCAAGAGCTGGATTTTATGCTTTAGGTGAAGGTGATAAAGTAAAGTGCTTTCACTGTTGGGGGGTGGCGGTAACTGATTGGAAGCCCAGGGAAGACCCCTGGGAACAACATGCTAAATGGCATCCAGGGTGTAAATATCTGCTAGAACAGAAGACATGAGAATATATAAACAATATTCATTTATCCTATTCACTTGAGGAGTGTCTGGTAAGAACTGTTGAAAAAACACCATCGCTAACTAGAAAAATTGATACCATCTTCCATAATCCTATGGTATGAGAAGCTATATGAATGGGGTTCAGTTTCAAGGACATTAAGAAAATAATGGAGGAAAAAATTCAGACATCTGGGAGCAACTATAAATCACTTGAGTTTCTGGTTGCAGATCCAGTGAAGGCTCAGAAAGATAGTACACAAGACGAATGAAGTCAGACTTCATTGCAGAAAGAGATTAGTACTGAAGAGCAGCTAAGGCGCCTGCAAGAGGAGAAGCTTTGCAAAATCTGTATGGATAGAAATATTCCTGTCGTTTTTATTCCTTGTGGACATCCAGTCACTCGTAAACAATGTGCTGAAGCGGTTGACAAATGTCCCATGTGGTACGCCGTCATTACGTTCAAGCAAAAAAATTTTATGTCTTAATCTAATGCTATAGTAGGCATGTTATGTTCTTATTACCCTGATTAAATGTGTGATGTGAACTGACTTTAAGTAATCAGGATTGAATTCCATTAGCATTTGCTACCAAGTAGGAAAAAAAATGTAAATGGCAGTGTTTTAGTTGGCAATATAATCTTTGAATTTCTGGATTTTTCAGTTATTAGCTGTCTTATTGACTCAATTGTTTTTACTGTTATTTAATTGAAACCCTAGACTAAGAAGCATCATATTATAACTGATCACAATGTGTATTCACAGTACATTGACTTAATTTCTAAGTGTAAGTGAATTAATCATCTGAATTTTTTATTCTTTTCAGATAGGCTTAATGAATAGAACATTCTGTATATAAATGTGGAGATTAGAGTTAATCTTTCCAATCACATAATTCGTTTTGTGTGAAAAAGGAATAAATTGTTCCATGCTAGTGGAAAGATAGAGATTATTTTTAGAGGTTTGTTGGTGTTGTGTTTTGGGATTCTGCCCGTTTTCTTTTAAAATTGTAAATATGTACTTGTGTGAATGATTTTTAAAGTGATTTTGCCATTTTTGGAAGGGCATTTAATGATAGAATATCATTGAGCCAACATGCACTGACATACAAAGATGTCAAAGATATATTAAGTGTAAAATGCAAGCAGGAAAATACTATGTACAGTCTGAGCCAAATCAAAGCATGTATGTTTTTTATATGTGTAGAACAAAAGGTTTGGAAAGATATGCACCAAATTGTTAAATGTGGTTTCATTTGAGGGGGGTGGGGGAATGGGCCCCAGAGGGGCTTTTGTAGGGGCCTTTCACTTTGTATTTTTTTCATTTTGTTTGAATTTTTTTTTTTTTCTTTTTAAATGGAGTTTCACTCTTGTCACCTAGGCTGGAGTGTAGTTTTATGAACTCGGCTCACTGCAACCTCTGCCTTCCAGGTTCAAGTGATTCTCCTGCCTCAGCCTCCCATGCCTCCTGTGTAGCTGGGACTACAGGCACCTGTCACCATGCCTGGCCAATTTTTGTATTTTCAGTAGAGATGGGGTTTCACCATGTTGACCAGATTAGTCTGTAATTCCTGACCTCCCAAAGTGCTGGGATTTCAGGCGTGAGCCACTGCACCCGGCCCCGTTTGAATTTTTTAGAAGTATGTATTACTTTTGTAATCAGAATTATTAGAAAGCATTTTACTGATTTAAAAGCTTAGACAAGTTCAAATGCCTGCAAAACTACTGAACACTCAGCTTTAGTTTTTCTAATCCAAGAAGGCCGAGCAGTTGACCTTTTTGGTGCCAATGTGAAATTTAAAAGATTTTATGTTTTTCCTGCGTTGTGGATGAAAAATATTTCTGAGTGGTGGTTTTTTGACAGGTAGACCATGTCTTCTTGTCTTGTTTCAAAATAAGTATTTCTGATTTTGTAAAATGAAATATACAGTATGTCACAGATCTTCCAATTAATTAGTAAGGGTTCATCCTTAATCTTTGCTAGTTTAAGCTTGCCTAAGTCACTTTACTAAAAGATCTTTGTTAATCCAGTAGTTTAAACATCTGTCAGCTTATGTAGGTAAAAGTAGAAGCATGTTTGTACACTG